GTGAAAAAGAGAAAGGAAGGAAGAGTGAGAGAGAGAGAGATCTGCAGGAAGGAATTATTAATAAAAAACATACACCCACACACACAAAAAAAAGAAAGTGAGACTCTCTCTCTCTCTCTCTCTCGTCTCTTGACGTTATTGCCTCCCCCTGCTGTGGTCACTAACGCGATGACGTGCAGAGTACCCAAAGATAAGTGTAATGTGTTCATCCATGTATACGTGCGTGGGCTGCCGGATGAAGTCTGAGGTGTGTCTCCTCCTTCTCTTCTTCCCCGCCTGCATTGTCGTGTTGGGGCTGGAGGGCTTCCTCCGCACGCGCCAGCCAAAACTGCCTGCAGAAGAAGATCTTTACGTTTGTGTTTAGTTTTACAAGGGGCCTGCAGGAGCGTCAAATTCATGCGTGCATGGCGATTTGGATGATGATGATGTGTCGTACTTGTTACTTTGCCCCTGCCGTGGGAAACCGCCTCCACCGTCTGGCGTTCCTCGGCAGCACGCAGGTGGCTAAACGGTCGCACACGACATCCAAGCAGCAAAGCGACGGCCACGCGGACGTCTCAGTCACTGCGCCGCCCGCGTCTCCTTTATCCTCCGCGCCGTTGGATGCCGATGCCGCCGCCCCGCCGCCCCCCGAGGACCCCACCAGGGACACCAGCGCGCCTCTTCAACAAGGCGAGCGAGCGACGGATGTTGAGCCACTGCGATGGGTGCAGAACGCGTCTGGCGACCCCTTGACGGAACCTATCGTTGATGACAAGGGACAGTTCATTGTCTCCCGCGTGCAGTGGCCGACGGGCGAGATAGCGTACACCACGCCGCCTCCGCCCGATGGCAAGTTAAGCCCTCGTTTCGGGTATAACGTTGTGCAGGTGAAGAAGAGCGTGTCGTGGTGGAAGCACTACCAGAAGTACCCGCGCTTCTCCATTGCGCACGTAAATATCCATGTGCTCTTCCTGCTGGGAGCCGCGTGGCTGCTGGCGTTCCTCTCGGAGGAGTACCGCAGGACTATGGAGGAGATGCGCACGCCAGGGGCGATGGTTGGGGAGCAGCGGGGCCGTGGGTCGGTCAATCGCCAGACGCAAAAAGTTGCCTTCACGCCCAGCGAGATGTCGGAGCTCGTCGGCCGGGCGCAGAACAACTGGTTGGACGCCAGGGCCGAGGCCAACTACATTGGCTCAAAGGAGTACAGCATGAAGAAGATCCCGCGACCGAAGGAGTTCTCCATGGAGGACTTTCGCAAGCGGTAGACGAATCCGGGGGCAGGCACGCAAGGAGGCGACGGGCGGTCTGAGGGCGCGCGCGGAGCTCCGCCGGAAGGGGCAGGAGCAGCAACACAAACTGCAGGAGACATCCAAGCGAATTAGATTTGGCTGCGGAAGGGGTCACGTGATACAGATGGGAGTGGGGCAGTGCCGCTCCGTCGGCCTCGCGTTTTTCTCGCTCCACCGCTTTCGTGTGAGAAGAAGCGGGCGGAGGTGCGAGGAGGGGAGGCGGCGGCCAGGGGAGGGATGAGAAGAGGGAGCTAAAAAAGGGAGTGGGTGGGTGCGTCGTTGAGGGCGCCTCGCCTGCCGTTTGTCTCCACGCTGTTGTAGACATTATTACTGTTTTTGTTATTATTACTTTCTCTCTCTCTTTTTTTTCTTCTGCCGTATCGTCTCTCCCGCCGGGGCCGCAGGCGTGTCACCGCCCCGCCTCACTCGCGGGCCCTCAACCTCGTCGGTGCCCGTGCAACCCTGTGAACTTCACGCCTACGGAATGAACATCATCGTGGCGCACACGCGCGTTAAGAAACGAAGAGAGAGATGAAAAAAAGCCGGTTAGGAGCGAAACTCTGCGCCCCACACCGTTACGCGTAAAAGCGTCTCTCACTTTCTCTCTCGCTCTCGTGGGGGGGGGGGTCGCTATACTCCCCCACCTCAGCACAAAAGAAAAAGCAAAAGGCACGAAGCCGCGTGTTTAAGCGAAAAAGGGACACGTATCATAAAAAAAAAATAATGGATAGACATTTGTCAACAAAGCTGCCCGAGCAACCCTTTGCGTTGGGGTTTGCCGGCTCGGGCAGCCGCGCCCCTGCGTACCTTGACGCACCGCAGGAGTATTATGTGGCCACACGCTCCCCGGTTACCGTCACGCCGCCAGGGCGGACGCACACGAAGGAGTGTTTCAGTGCCTACGGCTACACCGACCCTGTCGACATGAAGGAGCGGCTTCCGTCGAGGGACGACTTACAGATGGTACAGCATCAGTCCCGGCTGCCGCGTTTGCCAATCCCGACAATCGAGGAAACGTGCAGTCGGTTTCTCAAATCTATTGAGGCCATCGCCTCCGCCGAGGAGTACTTTGTCGCCGTGAAACTTATCGGCGAGTTCAAGGCGGCGGGGGGTGTTGGGGAGAAGCTTGACGCCCTCCTTCGCGAGTGGGACCAGCGATGCGGGCAGCCAAGTTGGCTGGAGGAGTTCTGGGATGACGCCTACCTCTGTCCACGCGATCCTATTCCCATTAACGTAAACTATTTCTTTGGCTTCAGTGCCCATCCGAATAAGAAGGCCATGACACAGCTTGGGCGTGCCGCAAGTCTGCTTCACGGCGCGGTCTCTTACCACATAGACATTCGTCAAGACAACTTGCTGTGTGAGTTTGAGCGCGACAAACCCGTTTGCATGTGCCAGAATCGGTTTCTCTGCTGCACCTCGCGGGTGCCGGGGAGGCGGCGTGATCGCAAGGTGTGCTACTGTGAAATTCCTGCCTTATCAAGGGATGAGTTGGAGTCTAAAAGCGTGGAATACGTTTCCTCTCCAGACCCGCCGCGACACTGCATTGTCATTCAACGCAACCGGTTTTTCCAATTAAACGTTATAAGAGACGACGACACGATCGTGGAGGTGGAGGAGCTGTTGGTGGCGCTCAAACTTATTGAGGAACGCGTGGTTACCGCCGAAGAGCCAGGCCCACCTGTTGGGCTGCTGACCACGATGAACCGCACCGACTGGTTTGAGGCCCGAGAACACCTCAAGCAGCTTGGGAACTACAACACACTGCGTGCGATTCAGTCAGCCATTATTTGTATCGCGCTTGATAGCGTGGAGGTGGTGACCTCCGACGAGGCCGCCCGGATCTTCCTTCACGGCAGCGGCACCAACCGCTGGTTTGATCGACACAACATTATTGTGACACGCGATGGTTGGGCCGGCGCGAATTGGGAGCACTCCGTTGCGGACGGCACGGCAACGCTGCGGCTGGCCGACCGCATGTACCAGTCGGACTGCGAACACGTCTTCACGGAGGACGTCATTGCGGAGCTTGCGACAGACGCGTCTCGACGCCTGCGGGCCGCCGCACTCTTCACGGAACTGGCGTGGTTGTTGGACGGCACAGTCAACGACACCATGAAGCGAGCCTTCAGTGACTACAAGAAGATGATTGAGGTGAATGAGACGGCGGTATTGCGGTTTCGTCACTTCGGTGGGGCTCGCATAAAAGGCGTAAAGGCCTCCCCTGACGCTTTTCTTCAGCTTGCGTTTCAGCTGACGTATTACCGTCTTTTGGGGCGGGCAGGGGCCACGTATGAGGCGGCGAGCACGCGAACATTTCTGCACGGCCGAACAGAGTGTGTGAGGAGCGCCACACGAGCCTCATTGGATTTCTGCCGCATGAGCGGTGAGCCTATTTTTTCCGAGCCCGTCGGATCGATTCTGCCCACGCAGCGCGCACTGATGTGGGAGGCCATGCGACAGCACTCAGAGAACATGCTACTTGCCAAAAAGGCACACGGAATTGACCGCCACCTTCTTGGCCTGCGCCTACAGGCCGTGAAGCACGGCATCCCGCTCCCTGACATCTTTGAAAACCCCGTTTTTAAGCGCAGTGCTCACTGGAACATGTCCACCTCCCACTGCGGAAGCAGCAGCCTGAGCCTCTTTGGCTTTGGCCCCGTCGTAGGCGACGGCTTTGGGATAGGGTACATGGTCAAGAACGATCACATCGATGTATGCATTACATCCAAGTTTACGCATCCCTACACGAGTTCGGTGGTGTTTGCGACGATTTTGCAGTCTTCCTTGCTTCACATGATGGGCATCGTTGAAAGTGAGTCGACGCACCAGCGGGCGGAGGCACGCACGTTGTTGTTCTCCCACCCGACCGGATTCAACGACTTTAAGTACGACCCAGCGGAGGGATTTGTGTACAAGTGCTTCACGCGATGAATGTAACTTCGTGTGGCTTTGCGTTCGGCATTTGAGGTTTGAAAGTCACACAACGATGTTTTTTCCTCTTGTTCAGCCTCTTCCCTCCTCTCCTCTCTCCTTTATGCATCTCTCCAGTATCAAGCTTGTGTTGTTTTGCCTACATTGTTCGCCAAGCGTTTTCCCCGGTTTTTGACTTCCGCGCAGAAATATATATATATTTTTTGTCTTGTCGTCTTCAGTTTGTAATTGTTTGTCTGGCAGTATTGTATAACCAAGGCGTCGCTTGCCGGTGTTTTTTTTTCTCTTTTGTTTTGTTTTATGGGGTCCTATTTCGTGTGTCCCACGGTATATGAGCAGGCACATTAGTGCGAGCCTGTGTGATTCTGCTTCGCGTCCTACGTGTAGCTTTGCCTTATTCCCCCCCCCCTCCCCCTCCCCTCCCTCCCTCCCCTTTCGTGCGGGAGGAACAACTGAACTGTTTCTCCACCGCCACCACCGCAGTGAGAGCGTCGAGAAGAAACAATCACAGGAAGGAACTAACGGAATTGAGAGAGACAGAGGCAGAAAGCGGGGCATTGTTTGGATGCACGTCCTCACCCGTGTATTTCTTCTTTATTTGTGTCTTGTTGCTGCTGTGGGGGTTTGTGCACCCCCTCCTTTCTCTGCGTCATGCATGCGGTGGGTGGCGGCAGCGATGGAGCCGACTTTGGCGATGATCGTCTCCTCTCCGTGTTTTCCTGCGTTGCTGGTTGTTGCACGCCCACGCGCTTAGCGAAGACTGACACATGGACAAAGCACCAACTCCAGGGGAACGCCCGGGGGGGCAGGCAGCTGCGGAGGGGGCAGCGCCTGCGAGAGAGCCGTACAGGAGCGCGGGGGCAGAGGAGGGGGGTGCAGGGACGCCAGTCAAGTTTGTGACGTACTCCGCGGCGGAGCCTGTTCCGTCGCAAAACCAGGCGAGACGCATTTCACCCTCCCGTGCCCAAATACTCGCGGCGCCGCTTTCGCCCGCCGAAAAGGCGATGTTCGACATGCCCATTGAGAGGTGGATGACCGTCGACCGCAGTGCCCTCGCTGGTTGGCGCTGCGCCGTGCCGCACCCTGTCACACTGGGCGACCTGCCGCCCGTGGATCCGTCGCACCGCATCCTGCGGCACATCGCCCTCTACAAGGGAGCAGTGACAAACCTGCAGCTGGACGCCATCGTGAACGCGGCGAGCACGCGCTGCCTTGGGGGTGGGGGCGTTGATGGGGCGATACATGCGGCGGCTGGTCCGTTGCTCAGGCGCGAGTGTGCCACCTTTGAGGGCTGCAGGGTTGGGCAGTGCAGGCTCACGAAGGGCTACATGCTCCCCGCCCGCTACGTGCTGCACACGGTGGGGCCCACGCTGGAAAAACCGGAGTGCTTGCGAAGCTGTTACCGCTCCGTCCTTTCGCTGGCGCACCAAAACCGACTGCGCACAGTCGGGTTCTGTTGCGTGGCCACTGGCGTCTACGGCTACCCGCTGCTTTCCGCCACTCGCATCGCCGTGAACGAAACCGTGGAGTACCTGAAGAAACACACCGCCGCGTTTGACCTCTGCTGCTTTGCCTGCTTTAGGCCGGAGGAGTACACTGCATACACCGACTGCTTACGCGAGTGCGTTGGTGCAACGCCAACCCCCCCTGTCGATGCCTAAGAAAGCCCCTCAGCGAGGGGGCGACTGAACATACATTTGCCCACATGCCCTTTGAAGCGCACCAAAAAAAAAGGAAAAAATAAAAACAAAGCGGAAGGGAGAAGGAACCAAGAAAAACGAAGAATGGGGACCCGCTTGCGGCCCGCATTTTTGATAATCCATACCTGGGGTGAAGCTACTGTGGCCTGTAAGTATGAATGAAGGAGGAACGCCACTTAGGTGATGCGAGGCGATATGGTTTACGCAAACCAAAATGAAAAAAAATTAACAAAGGAAGAGAAGCGTGCATGTACCCAGCCTCTCGAGTAGTTTTTTTTTGTGTGCACCACACACACACACAGATACATGCCTCAATCCAAGCTAGATTGCCGTGGACAACAAGGACTGGCTGGATAAAGACGCCGGCCGACGTTTGGCGTGCCCCGGGCCCAAGTTTTTGGTAGATAATAGCCGCAAGAAGGAGCACCCCTCACCAACGCAAAAGATATGCCTTAATACGTTGCATTTGTCTGTGTGTCGCAGCTCAAAAATTGCGGTCGAAGTTTGGATCTGGCGAGTGCCATGACTGCTCAGTCGCGCGGTTTCTCTGATAGGTTACGAACGGCCTCTGAATGCAGTGGCCTCTACTACATACGCGCCTTTGCCCGAGAGGTGCATTTGTCTCCGCTCCCTCGTAGCGTGCCTTGCGGTCTCACAAGTGTGAGTCCATCATTGGGAGTTTGCCGCCGCCCCACGTCTTGGAATTGCCTCTGGAGTGCCGTTCCACTTTTTTGTTTTGTTTGTCATTGGGTTTTTTTGTTTTTGTTTTCTTGGATGAAGCTTGTGCCCGGTGTATGCTGGTCTTTGCTGTAATTGTCTTGCGCTATCGCTCTTCCCCCGTCTCCGCCGCCACTGAGTATTTTCTTTTCATTTTCATTGCTTTGGTTGCTTCTGTATATATATATATATATATATACATACGCTTGTACTGTGCAATGCTGTCTGCCGGGTTCTGCAGGGGGTAGTTGCTGATGGCCCACCGTCTGCTGCTTCCGCTGCCTTCTGCCTTTTCTCCGCCAGACAGTGACGTGGAGGCCTACGGCGTCTTTGGCTACGACGCTCACGCCGCAGCTGAGCAGCATCCGCGGCTACAGGCCTACATTGACCGGCTTGCGGCCTTTCTCTGCAGAACGCGTCTTATTCAGTACCACCCTGAGAACTTTTTCCGCATACTATTCCTTCATGAAGAGCGAGAGCCCACTGCCAATGCGGCGGAGCGGTTGGCGCACCTGGACGGCAGCGCCGTGCGGGATGAGGAGGTGGCGTACATGCGGGGCCTTTGCGAGGCCTTCTCAACGCTGGTCTCAGACGATAACACACTGTTAGGTGAGTTACACTCCATCATTCATGACGGCCCGCCAGCAGGGGCTGCGGCGAGCCTGCACGAGTTTTTTTTGGAAACAAAGGCACTGCAGCTGAATCGGCAGCGACGCCTGGGGAATGATGCGGCGAGTCTGACGCTGCGCACCGCGCAGGAGGTGTCTGTTGCGGCAACCTCGTTGGCGTCGTCGCATGCCGGGCACGTGGATGCAGATGCGAGAGAGCAGCATCGTCGTGCTCGGGTAATGGAGGCGGTGCTGGGGCACGGCATGGGGACGAAGAAGCAGCACGAAGTGAGTGTGATGCGGGAGACGATTGTGGACCTCGTCAAGTGCTGCAATTCCGCCCCGAGTGACGCTGGAGCGCCGCCGCTGGAGCCGGTGGAAACCGTTTTTAATGTCGGTGAAGGCAAAGGCTACGTCTCACGCGCCCTCGCGTTGTGTGATGGGCTGCAGGTGATTGGGCTCGACTGCAACCCCGCACACAAGGAGCGGGCGGTGGAGCGGGTGGAGTTTCTGCTGCAGGGGCGACTTCGCGTGGACGCGGCGCAGGGGGCCTCCGCGGGCCGCGAGATGCTCAACTTGATGTACGAACCACGTGGTCACATGGCGACGGTTGCCTGCCGGGTCGGGCCCCGCATGAACTGGGCGGAGGTGCTGCGGGGCCACGTCCGCCTCTCCCACGAGACGCCCTCGGATGCGGCGGCACCGCGAACCGCAAGCGCCGTCGACGGGAGTGCGAAGCTTCAGTGCCGCATCTGCCCTTTCATCGCACGACGCGGGGCCGCCATGGCGATCATGCGACACGCACGGCGCCACCTCGACACCGACGACGCGACGGTGCTGGCGGGGCTGCCGTCGAAGGAAACCGTGGAGGTGTGGAACCACGCACTCTCGGTGGAGGCCTTTAACGAAAAGGTCATCGCCGCCTTCTTTACGGACGAGGTGCTTTACACGTCCAAGGCGGCCGCGGAAGACACGACGTCGGCGAAGCGAAGTCGCGTTGCGTCGGAAAAGGGCTGCTTGTCGGGCGAGGCGCCACGGGGCAAGTTACGCGATGCCTTGAGCACGTATGAGTGCCTAACGAACCTGCAGTTGCCGCGTGGCACGCGTGCGGAGGTGCTTCTACCCGTCCAGCGGCGGAAGCAGCAGCCCCCGGTGACGCCCCCGCAACAGCACGAAGAGGAGGGGGAAGAAAAAGAACAACCGCTGGTGGTGGAAGGGGCTGTGGAGGGTGCAGGTGCCTCAGACGCCGCCGTGCACCGGTACGTGCAGACGTCCCTCACCGTCGTTGGCTACGATCACGCCGCCAATCGCCACTTTGTCATCAGGGACGATGGGAGCCTAAAGGAGGCCGTGACGCTGCTGGGGTGTTGTCGTGGCCCACAGCGGGAAGATGGAGACTCCGTTGAGGCACTCCGCCTTCCGCCTGCGGCAGACGCGTGGGAGATGAAGTTGGCCGTGGTGCTGCGCGTGGTGCCGCCGGTTTCCCCACGCATGCCCGCTGTCCACGTACCAGACCTGCGCAACGTTGTCATGATCGGACTTCACCCCTGCGGCGACCTGGGCTCCAGCGTGTGCCGCCTCTTCGCGGAGAGCGCGTCGCGCGGGCTGCTGCTTGTGAGTTGCTGCTGGCACGCGATTACGCATGACGGGTTTCCGCTCAGTCGTGAGCTGCGAGGGCGCGGGTGGCAAACGGAGCACCTCTCGCTCCTCCTCGCCACCCAGCCGTTTGATATGTGGTCCACCGTCTCCACCGGCGGCCATCGCGCCTCCGTCTGTGCGCTTTTTTACCGTAGTCTCCTGAAACTCTTCTGGAGACGCCTGCGGGAACGCTGGCACCGTGCCTCGGCCGCGTCGGCGCCGGCGCCGGCGGTGCCGTGTTGCCCATTCGCTGAGGCGCCGCACTTGGAGCCGGCGTTTTTGCGCCGAATTGCCAAAATACGAAGCACCATAACGATGGAGGCGCTCTACGTGGAGGTGTGCCGCGAGTACTTCCCAGGCGAAGCCGCGACGGCGCGGGGGACGCACGCCACACTGCAGCAACACGTCTGCTCTTCCTGCCGCGAGGCACAAAGTGCCTTTTTGGCCTCCGACACGAACGTGGCAGCGGCGGCCGAAATCGGACGGGAGTTCTTCGCGGCCTACTTTGCCCCGTTTCTCGGCATGACGGTGCTGCGGATGTGGATGTGTCATCTTGTCGAGGCGCTGCTGTTGCTGGACCGAGCCCTCTTTTTATCCGAGGCGCTGCGGCGGGATCCACGCTGCCGTGGCTCTGTTGTGTCGCTCGTGCCGCTCTTTGACGGCGCCGTCTCGCCGCGGATGTACGGCGTACTGGCCCGCCGCATCCCTGCGTAGCTGCTTCCGGCCGGCTGAGGGCCCATGACTTATGGGACAGTTCATTTTTCTGCAACGCATTAAGCAACAATTAATATATACATATATAGTTTGCAAATACAATAAGCCTGCGGTTTGACAGACACAACTTCTCTCGCACTCTTCGTTTCCTCACGTCCAGTGCCTTTCTTCTTACCGATGCCTCATTTGCGCTAGTGCCTTCATTTGACCTTTCTCTTCGTCACTTTCCGCTTCTCTCGCTGCGTCTCTTTCTTTCATTACTATCGCCGTTTGTGTGTGCATCTGTGCGGCAGGGGCAACTTTTTCCGCGTCACCGCCGGCTGAGCGGAACGCTCCACAGCCGCCACAACAGCGTCGGGCATTCGGTTCCCCTGCGGACGGCGCATTTGCCTCCAAAGACATGGAACCTGTCGGGCCACACCGTGCGCTGCCACATCACGGCGGCTGGGCGCCGTCAACCCGCAGCCCGACAACTTCCCTCTCCGGTGCGGCCCCGACAGATAATCCGTACATGCAGTGCTTTCAACAAAACCCCACAGTTGCTGATTATCAATCGCCTGCCTTTGTACGGCGCAACGCCTCGCGCTCTGCATCGATGACGGAGCGGGGTAGGCGGCTGAAAGGCAAGGACGGGGCAGCCCCCTCGCTGCGTACTAGCGAGCACAATCTGCGTCCTCCAGGTGTCGGGGTGTTGAGGGCTGAGGGAAGCAGCACGTCTGCCATGGAGCCGACGACAGTTGCGGAACTGCGGCGACTGCTGTGTGTGGAGCGGGCGATGCGGCTTGCGGCGGAGCGACGCACGCTTGAGGAGGTGGAGCGTGGGGTGAGGGCCGCGATCACCATTGAGGCGAACTACGGCTCCAGGCTTCTCTACTCCATCTTTCTGGAGGCACGCGCGTCCACAGCTCCCGCGACTGCCGCTGCGACGCCGTGGGTGGGCCGCAGAAGTGAACCCCAATCCCTGTTTTCGGCCCCTGCGTCTTGCGACAAGGGCTCTCCGCCGGCGCGAATTGCGTCAGGTGCTGCCGCGGATGCCGCCACTTACAGGCAGCTCGTGGAGGAGAATCGTCAACTTCGGGAAGAGGTGCTGCGGTACAAGTCCATCGACACGGAGGACAGGTACGAAATAAATGAGCTGCATCGAAATATGCGGGCCGCGATTGACAGACTGACCCTTGAGCGAGACACGTTGCACATGGAGTTGACCCAAAGCCTGTCTCGACCCAATGCGGCGCTAGGGGGGTCGTCAGAGCGTGGGAGGATATCGCCGAAGACTACAACAGAGCGGTCGTCGTGGCACTACAGACATGTGGTCGACCCAACTGCCGTCAACAATGAGGAGTCCCCCGAATATGCCTGTCGCCTGCGGATCCTACCGTTGCCATGAATACAACCCCCCGCCACAGCAATCTCACAATTGTGAGGGAGAGAGAGAAGGAAAGTGATCACGGCAGAAGACTGAGACGCTTATATGTATATCTGTATACGTACATCCATAGAAACGGTCCTTGTAGACGTTATTGAGGTTGGAGGTGTCCCCATCTGTGGGGAACAAAAGGCGCCAGAGTAACGCTGAGGAAGTTCGGAGCAGCGTGCTTCTGTGCGTATGAGTTAAGCGACCCAAAGAGGATGAAACTACGGCAGTATCTGCATGAATGAGACTCCTTCCGCGTCCCTGTCGTTGTGGGGAGGTGCTGTTGCTGGTGCCTTCATGACGGTGTTCCCGCGCCCATGGAGGCATGTGGCCTTCCCCGCTCCCGCTTATTAATTGTTTTTCTCGTTCCTCCTCCTCCTCCTGCAGTGCATGCCGTTTTGACCTTTGAAGAGTTCATTTTTTTGCCGCGGGACAATGACGGAGGGACGACGACCCGTCACGCTTCGCTGCTGGGACGCGTGTCTACAGTATGAACTCTCACGAGCGGAGGCTTGGGCAGAGGTGCGCAGGGACGCTTTTACTGTGGGCGACGGGCTGTGGTGTGCCGCGACGCCTTCCATTATGGATGCGACGGCAGTGCTGGCGCTTCGTCACGTTGCGTGCGATTACCTTGCAGCTACTCGTGAGGAACTCGCAGAGGTAATACGCACCTTTAAACGCGAACGGACCGAAACCGACGTCGAAGTTGGGGCTGAACGGTTATCGCTGCGAAACTTTCTGCTCTTGTTGGAGCCGCTGACACTTGTGGCAAACGCAAGCGCGGTTCTGGAGGAATTTTTCAAAGGCATGCTGCAGCGTGATAGGCTTTGCGCCCAGTGTGTCTTGGAGGCGGCGGACGCCGGTGCCACACTGGAGGCGCAGGAGCAGGCTTCAAGGGAAGAACTGCTGTCGTCGTGTCGTCGTTGGCGGCACACACGAAGCCTACAGGGCCGTCTGCAGCAGCAGTGCATGCATCTCTCAACGCTGCACGCACTGGACAGCGGAGATGTGGCAGAAGGCGTGAAGGTGTCACTGATACGGCGGGCCGTGCGTGTGGAGGAGGAGCGGCGACAGCAGCACTTTGCAACGGTGTCGTCGGCGATGGAGCGTATTGTTCGCATCACCGACGCCCTGGAGACCCTCCACGACCAGCTGCGCGTTGCGGAGGAGTACGAGGCTCTCGCCCTCGCCCCACTGCTGGGAGAGCAATCTGATCGCATCGCGCACGCCGCCCTGCAGGCCTCACGCCGTGCCCATTGGGACTCTCGGCTGAGTTGTATGGAGCGGCGGCTGGGCATACTGGGTCGCTTTGCCGTCGGTCTCTCTCTCGTGAGCCTCGGCAGACGCACTCACAACACGATACTGCGGCAGATGCAAGAGACCTCGGCAGGTTCTGCCGCCACCGGTGCTGCGGCGGCGCCATTACCGGCGACCGGCGGCCTGGCGTGGCTCGCTGGCGATGGTGCGGTGGACCCTGCAGGCAGCTATTATTGCGCCTCTACCGCGGCGTCGTCAGGCGCGTCCGTCCCAGACACCGCCTCTTCCCTGTCGGCGTTGCTGCAGCAATGCCTCTGCGACGCCACCTCCTACGTGGCAGCACCGGGCGCCGTTTCGTCCCATGGCGGGTGGGAAGTTCCCTCCGTCGAGGATCGCAGAGAAGTGGAGGGAGTCCTGCGTCAGGCGTTTGTGTCACTGACGCGCCTAAACTATCTAGCGCTTCCGTTTCTGCAGGAATTTGCGGCGACGCTCGACACCGTTGTCTTGTTCCCGTCCTTTGAGCTCTTTTTGACGGAGTGCCAGCTGCGCGTCATTGGCTCTAGCAAGCTTGCGTTCTTCACTCACTGCTCCCGGCGCCTCGACGCCGGCATTGTCGCGTACCTCAAGTCCCTGGTGCGGCGCGAGGGGAGCTGGGTGGCGGAGTACGGCATGTGCTTCGACGACTTCCTCGCATTCCTCGTGGATCAGGCCGCCGTGGAGTACGTGCGGCACGCGTACCTCCTCCCACCAAAGACGCTCCTGACGAGAATACTCTTGGAGATTGTCGTGCCGCGGTGGCTAAATCGGCTCAGGAGGGGAGAGAGCCCGCCGTGCACGGCGGCCGCAGCGTCGTCGTCCACGGATGCGGAGCGAGCAGGCGCTGTGATGCGAGTTGTCGCCACTAGGGACGGGAGCGGCGGCGACGACGGCGACGACGACAATGACGATTTGTGCCTGCTTCTCGACACCGCCTTGACGTGGTTGGGTATTGCCGGTCGCTCTCTGCGGGACTTTGCACAGGCGTATCGCACACATGTGGTGGACTACGCGTTTGCCATGCCTCCCGAGCCGAATTCGAGCGGCGTCACCACGACAGGACGCCTGATGGCCCTACTGTTTCCGGCAACGGGGACTGCGCCGGGGCTGCGGTGCCACCCGGCACGCTGGGAGGCGCTGCGGCGCACGCACGGCTCTTCGTTTGCCGCCCTCAATGCGTTGGTGGGGGGTGACGGCAGCCTTGACAGTGTGGCTGCGTGGCTCACCCTTGGCGTAGACGGCGTTGAGAGGGAGGACCTCGTGCGGCGCAGCATAGACGCTATTGAGCGCATCCTCTGCGCCACCGCCGACCCGGACGTTTGTTTTGCCACGACCCCTCACAAGCTCCCTGCCGCCGTGTCCCACACGACCCCGGTCTCCTGGATTCTGGCATTGGCTGTCTGCGTGCGCCTGGCGTTCAGATCCGACTTGGCCACGTGTGGACTGGACGAGCTGCTTCAGCGCCTCACCGTGCCAAGGTGAGCTGCGTCGTTCCGGGCGGCACGCAAAGGCCATGCACGCGGCGGATTCATCCCCCCCCCTTTTTTTTTATCCCACGCTTTTTTTGTGGTATATATATAAATATATATTGTATACATTTACACCTTTGGTTAAGTCACATGATTTTGCATTGAACGCCCCCTCACGTGTGTGGTTTTTTTTTTGCCGCTTGCGCCTCCTTTCCACGTTTTCCTCTTGTCCTCATTCTTCTTGTTATTTCTGCTGCACGCCTTAGCGGCGCCTTGTTTTTTTTTGTCTTTTTTTTCCTTTAGTGTGCGGCGTGTTTCGCTTGGAATTCACCCAACACACAGACAGACACCCGCCGGCACACACACTTCACAGTTTCATAGGACCAACGGGAAAAAGGGCGGCTGCCGCGAGCAGCCACTGGGACCGCAAAAAAGCGCAGCGATACGAAAAGTAGGGGGATAGGGCGGAGGAGCAGCAGAGGGGGGCAAGGCGGAAGCAAACACCCGGGCAGGGGAGCGTCCATTACTGCGGGAGGAAGAGGAGGAGGGAGGCGGTAGCGAGAGCGGCCGTTGTTAGAGCGCAAGGAGGGAGCGGATGCCGTCAAGATGTGGGGATCGGGGTGACCCGGCCGCCGTGGCTCTTTACGGTGGCGGCAGCGAGTACTGCAACGGCGTTGGCAGTCGCACTAACCAGCTGTACGCTAGGTACTACTGCAACGGCGGGAGTACTGAGAGCCACTACCACCACCAGTTGGAGACTAACATTACTACTACTACTACTACCAATAGTAATGGACGTGTGGTATCGAGTCCCTTGCAAGTGGTTACGCGCAACACGCACGATGACGCGGAGGAGGAACTCTGCTCCCCCCGCTTGAACGTCCAGGCGCGCTATCGCCTACACAGCCCTACGCACAGTAACAGGGCATGCGACCCGCATCTTTCAACATCCCCGCCATGCGCATGGAGTAGCAATAGCTCCTGCTACGGCGACATGAAGCAAAACCGATTTGCGACGCGGCCTACGTCTAGTGCGTCCATTCCTGTGAAAAAAGAGGGAGATTTCGTGGGCAGCTTAGGCAGTAGAGGAATGCCAACATTTGCCGGCAGCTATGCCCCGTCTGGGTTTGCCATGCCACCGGCCCTTGCTTGTAGTGCGACCCCGCCAATGAATGAGGCGGTCCTCCGCTCTCCGCATCCGAACCCGCGCGTGACACCGCAGAGTTTGGGGTCACCAATGTCGGGGCTTCGTGGGGCCGAGTTCGTCTCCCCCGCTTCGTTCTCCATCTCTTCACCGCTCCACAACGAAATCATACCCGTGCAAAATTCGCCGATGACCATGAGCGGCGGCGCGGGGAAGCTGTGGGGGCGTGGAGTCGTCGCGGAGCAGCAACCGCAGGGACGACAAGCGAAGGCCGGCGCAAGCGGCGGCGACGACATCTCAAGCATTTCTGGAAGTAGCACGAGCACGATACGGGATGACCTAACTCTCTGCCCCAAGGACGGCCTCTGCACGCAAATCAACGATCGTAAGCACCAACGGAAGTACGCCCATACATGTCGCCTTTTCCCCTGCTACCACGGTCATGTCGCACGCCATGGTAAACTGTTTCGTCACGCTCCTGGGCAAATTGCACAAAGTGATGCCCTTGCTAACGTGAAAGGGACACCAAAGACATTTCCAGCCGAGGCACTGGCGAGTGTCAACTTCAGTTCCATTAGTCCGCAGGCGATCAATGCCTACCGTATTGTTGTTAGCCACGGTGATCAGAGCTATGAGATATTTGGCGACTGGCAGAATGTGCGTGTGCACACGTTTAAGCGATATCTGCATCAGGTGTACAAAATCCCGCCAAGCTCGCAGGTGCTGGTGCGGGTGGATGGGGCTGTGCCACTGGACGACGAACTTGAGCCTGTGAGCCGCTACGGCGTGAAGCCAGACACCATCATAACACTTAAACGCAAGGAGGACGAGGGGCCCCCGCGGGTGCCTCTTGACGACTTGTAGGGCTGTGAGCGGCGAGCAGCTCCCGCGGCTTCCCCCCAAGGCACTCCCCTCACGCCCTCTTTTGGCTCCTGCGACGCACGTGCCCTTCGTTGCGCTGCGGCCATCGTCCTCCCCCCCGAGGCCTCCAAAAAACGGGATTTTAAACCAAAATATAAAAAAAAAGGAGGCGTGAGGCGTGCCGAAGAAGAGTCACGCAAAGGAAATGGAAGGTATTTGGATGCAGGCGCCACCGCAGCCAACCCAGCGGCGGCAGGAGGAGGGGGAGACTGGGACTGCGGGGTTGGGGGAGGCAAGTTCCCTACGCCACTTCCCCAACCCACCAAGAACCCAAAAAGGAGTAATAGAAAATAAATAAATAAAAAAGCAAAAGCGATGTTAGTGAAACGATGAAACGAAGGGAGGAGGTGGAAGAAAGTGAGAGGGTGGGAGGGAGGAAAAAAAAAAGGGCTAGTTTTTGTATTCCGTTTTGTTTTTGTTCTGTCTGTGTCTTGCCCCTTTCCTTTGCACTACATATGTGCTGCGACGAGGACCAGGCCCGATGCACGGCTTGACGTAACTGTAATGTCGAGTTTTCATTTATTTTTATGTTTCAGCGACTGCCGTGTCGTTCTTCCATCGTGAAACAGAATGGGCCGAGGCGAGGGGAGAACTGCACACACACACACACACACGCACACACTTATGTATTCCTGCCCGCGTTTTCTTAGGCAGATGACTTATGAAGAAATGGAAAAAAAAACAAAAAAAACAAAAAAACAAGGAGAGAAGAAACAGGGACCAAGTCGTCTGCATGCATCCACGCATACGGGCTGACAACGCGCACAGGTGCTGCCAGTGGTGCAGTTGCGTGGAAAAACATGAGTTAACGCAACGCCGGGGCAGGGGGAAAAAAAGAAGACTGGGTGAAAATGGTGGTGAAGAAAATTCCGTGTTTTTTTTGTTTTTGTTTTCGGGTGCGTAAAGAACGGGAGGGAGGGAGGGAGGTTAGACAGACGAGGTCCCCTTCGGGTGTGAAGGATGAAGGAGGAGGGAAGAGGGACACTCGGGCTGGAGAGCTGTGGGGCAGCTTTTGGCACTGAAACACGGAAGGAATGAAGAGACCGCGAAAACTCAACACCGCGGGAGAGGCGATAACTGCATGCACGCACGTGCCAACTTCTTGGAAGTGATGCGTGGCTGAAAAGTAATAACGGGGATTGAAAAAGAAAAAAAAAGTTATTACATATACATGAATGTGTGTGTGTATATATATATAAGTTTACATTTTGCGAGTGCGTGTGTAACTCGTGTTCCCACGGACCGTTGAGAAGCGGGGGCCGCGCACGTCTCTGAGGTGGGACTGATGGAGAGGGAGAAGTGAGCAACAGCGAGAAGAAAAAGAAAGAGAGAGACCAAAATGGAAGGAGCAAAGGGAAGATAAACTTTTACCGTCTTAAATGTATTTTTTTTATTGTTTCTTCTGCGGTTGTGGGTAAGCGCGGCAAGGGGCAGAACTCGGGCGGCGTGTGCTGTGCGTGACGAGCCTGGTCGGCGTCCGCACCTGCAACTCAGGGAAGCGTATGGAACGGAACAACAAAGGACGGAGGGAGAGAGAGAGGGAAATAGGTAAAAGACGGAGAGGAAGAAGAAGAAGCGAATGAATAAGGAGTGCTTTACTGATAGTGAGGAGGAGGCGTACGCGTAACAAGACAGCAAACCCCGTGCTAGTTCGCCGATGCCTCCTTCTACCTCCTATTCTTCTGTCTCCGTGGGTGGCCGCTTATATGAATCTATACAATTGTGTTTATTTTTTCCCTCTCCGTGTGTGTTTTTTTTCCATGTGTGTGCGTGTGTGTATTTGGCTCTGAGCGGGGAGGGGACCGAGGGGTCTTCGCATCATCCGTTATTATCGCATCTCCACCGGCCCTAATAATAGTAACGAGAGATGTGGATTTATCATTTAATGTCTCCAGTGGAAGTGGGAAGCATTCACTTAGTTCTCAAGCAGGGAAGGATATTATAATTGTAACATAAAAACACGCCGCGTCTCTCTCTCTCCCTCCGATTTATACACATATATATATGTGTGTGTGTGTGTACGCGGAGGACGCTACTATAAACCTGCATTTTGTTTGGTTTCTCATTATGACTCCGTTCTGACGAGGGCGTTCACTGCGGCTTGAAGGGGAGGAAAAGTAAAGGCGGGTAAAGGAATCGAAAGATTTGAGGTGAGGGATGAGTGTAATGGTGATATGAGTGTAAATCACACATATTTGCCCTTTCCTCGAGTGACGCACGTGTCAGGTGCGATGTAGGCTAGTTAGCGCATGGCTTGTCTAGCCCCTTCCTTGCTTCATTTTTTCCCCTCATTTTGGTGTGGGCGCGGGGATAGGCAACACGCCATATTTGTATGAGCGGGAGGGGGAATTGGCCGGCAGTGATGGGCAAGACACCTCAAGTGCGAGCTTGACAAGAAGGAGTCAAGAAGAAGGAATAGTTGCGGTGCCATGTACCTGCACATGCCTTTGTTGGTGTCTTGCGAACATACAAAGTGATACGCGACCGGCCGTCTTTGAGTTCTTTCTGTGTGTGCTTGGCTGGGTGGGGGGTGCCCCTCACCAAGTATTATGTCCCCCACCACACGCATGCATATATGCACATCTTATATATATATATATATCTGCCCTCTTTTACACTTCGTTTTTGCGTTCTTGGCTTCTTCTTCTTCTTCTCTCTCTCTCTTTTACGCACCCTGATATTCCATTTTTGCGCACAGGGGCAATCAATGTGTATAAGTGCGCCTCTTTCCATCCCTTGATTGTTATGCTATGATTATGAATTCATCGCCGGGGTGTTGTGGCTGGGCTAGCCTGTGTGTCTGTGTGCCTCTCGCTTTATTCTACCTCCTTGGACTTCATGCACCTCTGTGGTGGCTCTTGAATTACGCTGCTCTTACCGCCCTGCTTTATTGTTGTTGTTGTTGCTGGTTTTTTCTTTTTTCTTTTTTTTTTGCTCGTCGTCGGTCCGCTTCTCGTGGTAAGCTGAGGCACAGGGGAGCACTAGTCTAGGCATCTGGTGTGGAGGTAGGCCTTGCAGTCCTCGCTCGTTCGCCGCGGTGGTGATGTGGGACCGGGTCTGGCGCCGTCTTTTTGGTCGTGTCAGTGTCCCTGGCGTT